ATTCATTTCATACCTGTAGTATCGTCGTATACTGAGAGAAAAATATTAAATTCGCTTCTAACGATGGCTAAAGGTCCGGTGATATTACGTCGTATTAACTGGAAGTTGTTTTAAACGAACAATTAATTATTATTTTTTATTAATCACATAAATAGTCTATGTATTTTTTAACACATATCAAAGTGACCAGCACACAAAAAGAAACATTGAATTGAATAGCTATTTATTTCGCTTAAGCATACATAAGATTGAAAAGAAAATTGAACAGATTATTTTGTTGTGGAATATTGTCCATTCGACTCGCCAGCTTATAAACGTTGTAATAACAGGTTTATCTGCAATAGAAACTTTTTCGCTTAGCCATTTTGGTATGCGCACTCGTCACTCGCAAATTAAGAATTGTAAAATAAACAGTCGCATCATTCCGCGATGCATAAGCAAAGGGGATACGCGGAGCGGAGGTAGCTTCTATTTATTTAGATTGGTTATAAAAACGTCAATACTCGCCGTCATAACCGGACAATCCGCGAGTTAACTGCAGATGAAAAATATGATAATATGTGTAATCAACTAATCACATAGGCTTAATGATACAGAATTGATATATTACGAATTTCATTCAATGTTCTCATTAAAGAAACAACACTAGAAATACAATGACGTCATTGTTCAATATGACAGCACAGTTAAAGGACAACATTGACAATTGACAAGCCAGTTTATTTTTTTTCAAATAAGATTTCTAATTCATCATGTCAGGATTGAATCTTGACAAAATCTGTATTAAAAATTGATGAATTTAATTGCGCCATTCTCAAACATAAATACAAATAATATAAATATACCAACCTTGGATCAATATGGAACTTTGAAACATCTTTTCCTATTTCAAAGTGAATCAAGATGTCTAGTTTTCTGTCATATGGCTGTAAATTTTAATGATTATGACCAATGATGTCTTTTTATTAGACACGTCATACGCGTACATTATTGCGTTTTAAAACGGCGTAACCCAAGTAGCACAAAACACCATTATATCAAACTTATAATAGCACGAGTCCAAGCGTTAAGCATTATAATAAAATCGTATATCAACCGTATTTCTTTTAAACGACTCTTATACATAAAATTTGGGCCCCCCCTTTGTACGACTTTAAGCTTTATAAAAGCTGTGCAATAGCACTACAACTTTTGTATAATAGCATTAATAAAGTCGGGTAAAAGCATTCTAATAGCCACAAAAAGTTCAATTAGCACCTTAAAGTGCTAATTGAACTTTTTGTGACTATATTACAATTGATATGCGTAAATCAAAATTATAATACGTTAATTTAATATTATAAAAATGCTTACTGTTTTATTTCCTTTGTAAAAAAGTATATTTAATAGATTTTAAAAACATATAATCGGTTTAAATTATTGTTTTGTGTAAGTGTCATGACATGTTCTCTTGGCTGGTCTTTTAAGTATTTTTGAATATTGATTTAAACAGCTCGTTTTGTGTGAAATAAGCTGCACACATCAGTTTGTGGAGTAAAATATACAAGTTTATGGTGTAAAATACACGCGCCTTCGCAAACTTCCTTTAATATAATAAAAATAATAAAAAATTTAACCTAGTAGCAAAATTTTTTGTTGAATTTTAGGCTTTTTAGCATTGTTTTAACAACATAATTGCTTTTATAGGCATCTGTGCACAAAATAAATGATTATTTACCCCTTTTCATCTGACACAGTTGACTTTAAATATTTTGTAAGAATTGGAAAAAGAAAGCAAATGGCGACTCGTAAAATTAAAGCATTAGGTATTCAAATATGGTGTAGTAGAGCTGTTAATCGTATTATGGTTAGACACAAAACTAAGAGCTCGTAATTCACCGTATAACACACTCCCATTTTAGTTACAGCCGTATTTTTACACTTCAGAAGTATCTTATAGTGCTTATAATCATCAAACGATTATTTCATTTTTATTTTGATTTTTAAAAGCTTCAATTAAATTAGAATACTCTTTTTTCAGTTTTCATTTATATCCACCTGTTTTCTTTGTTTTTCCCAACGTTTTTTGTCCATGGCGCCAGCGATGCGTATAAAATGCCACCATTACAATACAATACATAAAATAATTTTACATTTTAATTTCACATAAAAAATAATTACGATCTATTTATTACTTCTATCTCTATAAATAACTTAATATTGATCAAAATATAGCTTAATGTTTTATAAAAGCATAGATTAAGAAGATAAAGGAGCTTGAGCTTGATTAAAGAATACTTTAAGAACAAATCGGTGCTAAAGTTTTACTAGTTCTTTATTCAATGTGTATATAGGATAAGCATTAAATCGATACAACCATAGACCATTAGAAAACCTTTGTTTCTAGAAAATGACTAAATACAACTAAGTGCACTAAATAGTATTACGTTAATGCTTATATAATATATAATGTTTTTCATATCACCGAAATACGATAACAGCTTTATATTAATATTACCCAATACTTAAATAGGAGTTTTGACATTGGTATACTTTTTTTATTAACCATAATATGGCATTAAGCATTATTAGATAAAATAAATGCCTTTAAACAGATTCGAAACTTGACCAGAGCTGATTAAAAATGTTAGTATGACTTTAGGACATAAATCGGTACTTATTTTAGTTAATATATTATTTATGTGCTACTTGGGAAACTTCATTGTGGTAGAATTACATTATAATACAACCACAAAGGGCGCGAAGAAATCAAATAGTTATTTCCCTATTGGAATCATACAGCATTCCTCTTGTTAGAATGAGATAAACATACTTGCTTACCAATCTCCCCTAGTCGTAAAACACGATGCACGAAACACTGGCCGCGTTCAATGACGTTTTATTACATTTATTAATATAAAAAAGAGTAAGTACAGTACTTATGTATGAAAAAATTACGAGTACAAACGACATTGCTGAAAAGTGTCTGAAGTGAAACTCAGCCAAATGCCATGCTTTTTTGCTGTCAATGTTGTGTGCAGATAACACATTTCATTTTCATTTAAAGTTAAATTTAGTAAGATTTTTTTTTTTATCTGTTAACCCAATAATAATTTTATATAAGTCTTAAAATATTGTCAACTGGACTGGACTGGAAATGGCATGAAAAGGAAAAAAAATTGCACAATAAAAAAATTGACAATTGAACAATTTGGACCATTTCAATTGACAATTAAGCCTATTCCTTTTCTATAATTACTGAAAATTAATTATTAATTATTTTAATTCTATAGCCCATTTCATCTATTGTAGTAGGTAATATAAAGCCAGTACAGTTGGGCATTAGGGATGATGATTATTTTTTTTGTTTGTCTATCAGTTGGATTGTTGAAAAATATTACATTCTTAATATTTTTTGTGTAATAAATAAATTACAGCATCAATACACAAGAAATGTGACATGACATCATGTTTGTGTGACGTTCTACAAAGCTGTGACTTAGCGAGACCCCACTTCTCAACTTTAAAACTTTCTTGTGAAATTGAAGTAAAAAATGTAAATATCTAATATTTTATTATATTTGATCAATTTTGCAATCACAATGCTTTATCGAAAATTGCTTTTACTTTGCCCTAGGCACTCTAAGATGTGCCTGGATTATGAAAGGTCAGGGTTTCGAGGCACATCTCATCTCTATTATCTGGCGAGTCTCATCTCAGAGTGACAATGTGGATTTTTAAGCACTATTCATTAAGAATATCTAATACTTTTCTATTGTTTGACCGACAGACTAAATTGTTTTTTTACACAGGCAACATCCCTATTGTAATAATGTTAGCATAATAATGAAAAGTCGATCACCCTTCAATTACAACCATTTAAAATCATAAAATAATTATCATCATCATCACCAGCCATTTTACGTCCTCACTGCAAGGCCTTCCTTATGGATGGTTAAGGAGGATGGGCCATAACCCTCCACGCTGGCCCAATGCGGATTGGAGGGTATTGTATAAAATATAGGGTATAAAATAATCAAATATATCTGTCATAACACATTGCACTACTAATATTGAACTTCAGATAGTACAATGGCCAAATGCAAGTTGTTGAGATTCTATCAAGATGTGATGAATATGTAAAAATTAACTACTGATTTGGAAAATTTATAACCATATTAGTACAGACATCAAAAAAAAATAGATAACACATGAAACTTACTGAAATATTTCTGAAATATTTTGTCAGCGCACAACAAATAAAATTTGAAGTAAGTCTAGTGATCGAACAGAAAGAATTTCTCATAATAAGTCTTACATACTACATTTATGACTATTATACTTGCACAGATGAATCTAGCTAATTTTGCCATAATAAAGTAAAAATAAAATATTTATAATGCCTATCAGTTGGTACAAAGGACTACATATGAAATCTCTGTCTGAAGACTGGACCATAGATGAAATTGCGTGGATGGAATAGTATTGTGTTCAGAACTCAAAACTTAAGTTTGTGAAACTAGAATATAACCTTACACATCATGTAAATCAAAGCAATAGATAAATAAAATAAAATAAAATTGACAACAGTTCAAATTACATAATTAGTTATATGAAAGTAATTTTTAGAAAAAAAGGTGCATGTATTTAACCCATTTAAGTTTTTTTTAAAGGTATAGCACAATTGAAATTAGTTTATAGCTTGTATTCAATTGTTCAAATAGTTGATGATAAAGTCTTCCAGTGGAATAGGAGTTGCTTGAAAAGTGAAGCACTTATAGAAAAAAAAGTACCAAGTAATCAAATTTGAGAACCTTATATATACGAAACTAAATGATATTACCAGAAAATAAACAAGCATACGCTGTATAGATACATAATTTACATTTCTAAATAGAGTTAATGTGGGAGTTAAATTTTCGTTCCAGTTAATATTCTACAACTATGTAAAGATGTTACTTCCCAGCTAAATAAAAAGTGCAAACGAGTGTTCCGTAATAGTGCATTAGTTCACTACTCACTTTGCTCATTGGATGCTGTCACTGCCGCGTCGTTAACATATGATCCGCTTCGTACTACGGGACCCCATTGTGGCCTACGTCCGCCTTCTTTAGATTCTGTCCTTTCTACATCATCAGCTTTGCACAAATGTAAAGCGAATACGCACCAATAAAACATAAAACTGATACGCATCGTGATCTCTCAATGACATTAAATTAACCGCACAAAATAATACACCACCGCCGAAGACGTTGCACTCATACACATTATATAAAACACGCTTTTAGAGAGTATAATGTTCAGGGATACATAACACGAACGATGGACGACAACAAAATAAGAATTATCACAGAAAGAAACCAACGAAAAGGTTGGAGGTCGAATTTTTTGCTCACAGAGCTCACTGACCACAGTTTTTCTTGAGCTACGCAGATAAAATGTCACTTATCTGTCAGACCGAATACTTTTTGGAAGCTTTATTTATGGAAGTCATTCACGATAAGGATGCTCGATGGTATTAGCACGGTCAATTATAATCGATATTAATTTTACAAAAATGTATTTTAAATAAAGTAAAACATCTTGACATCGAACTGACCAAGGCCTAATGATTTTTTTTATTACATTCAAATGCTCCCATAGTGTACTTTATCAAATGAGGAATTTTTTAAAAGAAATTTGTTCGTAAAATTTTGGATGACATTAGTGATTTTCGGATAATTCTCTACCTGAGACTAAAGTTCAGTCACTAAACATTTTCATAAGCAAAGAAAAAGCGCATTATTTGTCGGGTGAACATAATGCTTTTCTTATATCTGGCTAGTAATAAGCTTGTCAAATAAATATCGATACGTCAATATATTCAATTCGATATATTGATATTTCTTGTCGATATATTTTGCAACGATATATCGATATCAAATATCCAATATCGAAATTGTAATAAATAGGATAATTTCTTTTGTTTTTATTTGAACGAGAAAATAAACAAAAGAAAAATCATTATATATTCATTCCGTTATCCGCATATCGTTTTAATCATCTTATTAATTCAATCAATAATTAATTTGAACATTACAGTCATGTCTAGTGTAGTATGGAACTTTTTCAAAAAATAGACAAATAAAAGGTTTCATGTAAAAAATGTGGAAAAATCTAACTTTCAAATTCATTTTAATTTATTTGAATGAGGAAGTATTAAAAAAACAGTTCCCGAAATAAAACAAGATGTCCCTACGGTACTTTCTTGATTTCTCCATGACAACCTTTTCGGTTTTCTTTCAAGTATAAAAGTAAATTAATTTTCAAAACTCAATAAACAACTCATATTTATTTACATTTTTCGTAATTGTATGATATCTAAGTTTCGAACTTTTCAAATTTCAGTTATTTATATATTAGTTAATAGGAACGGAAATGACTGTCTTTATTCCATTCGTTTCCTGCAATAATCAAGTTAAACTTTTATAAAAATACAATTATAAAATGTACGCTATATATAGCGCGAGTCTGATAATGGACCTTGGCACAGAAAACATGCTATTATAAATTACAAATTGTTTAATAAAACTGAAATACAATTAAAATAACTAAACTGTAATCTTCACACAAGCTTGTAAAATATATTTAAATTCTTTTCATGGCGGCTAAAAGACAGAACCATAAACAATATACATCATAATAATAGATTAGAAAAAAATATCAAGAGTCAGTTCTGCACTTTTACACAGTTAATATATTAAATATAACGAGACGGTACACGGACTGTTCGCCGATCTAGTAAGACACGGACGTAGTGCTTCATGTATGCAATTATATGCTGTGACATTGGTATAGGATAGAGAAATATTCATATGGAGTTCATTGTTTTAAATAAAAATATATAAATAAATATTTTTTCGTCTCGAAAACCGCGGCAATAATGAAAATTTTTCATATATGTTTGTATAGTTTTGGATTCCTTTTCCTTTAAGAGAATTTAACAAAAAAAATTTGTACTGCGTCACATCCGTCTATTCGTAAAAAAAAAGAAAAAGTGTTGCCAGGTAGCCGTCTTTTGAACTTTAGGGAGAAAATAAATGTACACAAAAGACAATGTTCATTTTTTTTGTAACGACTACATAATAGGGGCTAGGAAAACAATTAAATTAAAAAAAATTGTATGTGGTTAAAAAGTTCGTAAAGTTTAAACATTATTCGTCTAATATTTTTGCTAAATAACAATTACTTATATTTTTAAAACAATAAACAGAAATATAATTTTCCAATTCTTATGGTTTGTCAGACGTCAAATGAAATATCAATCAGAGGTAGTGATGTCATTTGTGAGTAAATTGATAGTAAAACTATGTAGAAAAAAAGGAACTTATTGCCTTTAAATAGGTATTCTCTGAACTCCAAATAAAATCATAAGTTGTAGAAAATAGACTTATGTATTTTCTTGACAAATATTTAAACAGAAGTAACAAACTGACAATGACAAAGAATATAAAGAGAAAAACAAAGTGGCCTATCAAAAATATATGAAAGAAGGTTGATGTGTAAATTAAATAGTTCCAACAGAAAAAGCACGGGAAACTTTAAAATTGCAAAGTAATCTTAATGATTTACTTTACTTTTATCAGGTGGCAAGAGTTTGTTTAATGTTTTATTTATCTCTGAGTTTAAATATGTCTTGCAGATGATAATAATTTGTTTTCACTGCAAATTCCTTTTGTTTACCCCATAAATGACGTCACGTCTTTTGAATCACCATTTAAGCGGATTTTTAAATAATTAAATTTTAACGTAATTTAAAACTTAATGTGTACCCAACACATTAAGTTTTATTTAAGGAAATAAACGGAAATAAATTGACCTCCTCTGCATATTTTCGTAATGAAAGCGAAGAAGGATTTTCTCACAATGGCTATAAACGATTTAAATAAGTTATTGAAATATACTAGTTGCTTAATTGTAGCTATCGTGAGAGAGCGAAACTTTAACTAGGATTCCCTGTATGACAGAGTTTTAGCTCCTCATCATGTAATAATAAACAAAAGCACTGGTAATCTCGAGAATTACGATCTTTAAACAGTGTTTGAAAATAGGTTACTATCAATGCTTGCACTACGTAATTTTATAAGAAATCACTCAATGGAAATAATAAGCAGAGAACAGTGGTCAGAATAACAAAGTTTCTCCAAAATAGGGAGCTTTCTCTGATTTAGCATTTCCTATTTCGGCCTGGAGCCGACGTATACGCTATTTTAGAATGCGCGGAAGTTAATTATTAAAGAAGGTAAATAAATCAAATTATAAAAATATTGGGAATATAAAATCATTATTTTGGGGAAATTTAAGTAACTATGTTCGGCAACCCTGCAAGTGACCTTGTCCATTTGTAAACAATAAGTAGTACCTTGCTACCTTGACAAACATTTATTTATTTTCTTTTACTGTTCATTATTGCAGCTTGATTTTTAAAGGTTAATAAAGTGTTTTAATTTCAAAATGAATATTGATTTCGAGACTATGGCCGTGTTGGAAGAGGAGTCACAAAATGTAAGAAAATTGCCTTTGTTTTCATGGGTTTCTGTATTGTAATTGTCTAATCAAATCTATAATTAACTACGATTTTTAGTTCAATGTTTTCGACTGTGTCACTACGTCAGATTTGTCGATAGATTTTCTCGACGAATCGTTTATACGTCTAAACTACCAATTTGCTTATTTGTTTTCGTCCTGTCACATTGTTTATTCTTGTTATTTTTGGAAACTATTGCATAATAAGTAGGATTTATTTCGTCATACATAATTTCTTATTGTTATATATACTAAAAGATTCAATGCATTAATATTGAGTACTAAAATTATCTATGTAGGAAATAAAACCGTATCACGTTGTTATCTTTTCTTCCTTATTATTGTGATATTGTTTATCGCGTATGTTTGGATTTCACGAAAACAGATTAGTCCTAAAACATTTAACACCAATGAGCTTATTTTATAAAAAAATATGCAATACAAAAGTAGTTATTATGCTCACAATCTACTTCAACAGTGAAGAATTCACTTAGTTTAAAAAAATATATGACTGCCTTTTAGAACTTTAAGAGGAAACTCATTTACATATTGTATTTTGACAGTTGTGTTGTCACGGGTTGTATGAAATGGTTAAATTCCAATTTGTAGTTTCACACTTTGTCAATTTTAACTTTAGGGGCTATTACGCCAAAGTTTTTTTTATATTTAAATTAGTAATTATTTTGTATGCCTATTCTCTAAGGCATGTCGAAACAAGGGACATTATTTAACATCTATCTTCGTACAAATAATATTACAAACATGAATCTTGTATTTTCAGTGATTATTGTTTCACCTCCTGTGACAGTTTAACAAACCTGTTACATTACATATTTTTCAGCTCACTAGACATTACCCGCACTACATATAAATGTGTTACTATCACCTTTAATTTTCTCTTCACTGACACACCCTGTAATAAGTAATAAGAAGTTATGAACAGATAGATAGAAAAATAGCGGTGAATATCTAATAAAAGCATCTGTTGATGTAAATATGATAAGTTTTCTACACTATTATTATAAAAATATTATATGAGAGTTTCTAACTTTGTTTCATAGGGGGTAATCTTTGGAAATAATGATCTGCTCTGCGATTCTGTGAATATCCAAACCCGAAATCGAATTCAGTCATGTGACCTAATTCATTTCATTAAGTTAATAAATTCTATTGCTTCCATTTTTTGTATAAAAATACAAAACAAAATTGATTGACTATATGTGTCTCAGATGTTCTATTCCTATGTCATTTCGAAACTTACTTCACTTATGCCACGAAACATTATTACCAATTCAATATTGAGCGGATACTGCTTTTTAAAGTGAATTTGAACGTTTACAGAATTGCAGGGCTATTTATGAAAATAATCTATGAGAAGCTACATTATATATGTGTGATTTAGGCTATAATTTATGCAGGTGAAGTAACAGGAAAACCATTATATTTAACGAAAATATCTTTAAACATAGGTATATATTACAAAATAATTATTTAGATTAGAGAACCCAAAATATTTTGATTGTAACATAATTTTTTATTTTTTTTCCATGCCAGTGTCATCTATCGTAAATTTGAGGGTACCTAATACTATTTATTACATCAAATTTATTATGCATAGTATGCTTTTATTGTCTGTTTCATGTTAGTGTACTAAAATGGCAACAGATGGCGCTTTATAGCACATTGTATGAGGTGTTAAATTACGGCTGCGATGATGAAGGAGTACCAAAATAGAATCACTGAGTTCGAAAATGCTAATTAATTAAAGTGAAAATAATAGACCCTTGTTACTGCTTCGCATTATTGACATTTCATTGATAAAAAATTAAATGAAATTTCAGATTCACAGCATTACATCAAACGTCACCATTGATTAAAAGAGAGATAAAGTAATCGTAATTATTTATAAATTTAAGATTAATGTATTATAAATAAATGTAACCGTTAATCAGGATTACTTTTTGTCCGTCTCTGAATTCAATTATTCGTTGTTCATCAGATCTTACTATCATCGGATAATTGCTGTCTTATATAAAACGGGTACTAAATGGTATGGTAAAGTAGCCGAGTCAGTCCAGTAAGACAGGCCAGGCTTCGTGTATTAAAAAACAAGCAAATTTTAACTGGACTGGCTTACTGTATTGTCTCGGTTATTGGTCTCGCGTAAAAGATCCATTAGTATCTATATGTTTAAACTATCATTGGCATAAAGTAAATTTTTAATAACAGAAGAGGAAACGTAAATTGTGACTTGTAGGGTAGGGTGCGTCTATTCGCAACCCCTGTTTTCATCGTCATCGCGGATCATATATCGAAGAATCACTAAATATGAAAACTCACCAAACTTAGATTTTTGAAATTTCTTTGTATGTAACAAATATGTGCAATTTAATGACTTAAATAACAGATTAATCAAACCGACGTACTCATACGGCAAAAGTGATAATTCATAAACTGCTTTTAAATAGTTTTGAAAGAAATACTTAGTGCACATCTGTGGCAAAAAGTTTTTAATCAAACTTTTTTTTATTTAAAAACCGGAACATCCATGAGGAGTTAAGTTACTATACCGCGGACATCTCGGAACTTCCTTCTTTTTTTTATTTGCCCTTGTCAGTTATATGCGCAGTAGCGAGAAACACAGTAGCAACACAGTGATTGCCTGACGTAGTATGATAATAATATATCGGATTTAGTACTTTATTATAATAGCATTCCGCAAAGGATGATTTTCTTCCATATAAACTATCTACCCCTGTTTAGCCCTCTTATTTTCACAAATACAAGAATTTACAATTTTTTTTGTCACTGGCCAAAAATTATCTTTCATATTTCAAGAGCCAAAAACAACATATGTTCCAGTCCATACAGATATCCAGTTTCTATTTTACCCTTTAATAAGAGGTAAAATTCCACAAACGTTAAATTAAGTATTTATAATCTGCAGCCTATAAATAAAGTTTCGTGTCTCTCTAACATCAAAGATGACGGACTTATATCAATAATACCTACTTTTATACAATCTATAAGTAGATATTATTCATTCTTTAGGGGTAGAATTTCAGAGCTGCTCATCCGATTTCGATAGAAATGGGATCACCTCAAACCCATTATAAAAAATAGCTTTATTGCTTTAAAATAAAAATAATAATTTCGAAAGTCGGTCTACAATTCGCGAAGAAATCGATGAACAAACATAAGAATACATACCTGTCGATCATAGTCTCGATTTTGAAGTCTGTTTTAAATAAATTACATCAATAAACGCAGCACTTTGTCCAGTCCGATTAATTTGAAACAAAAGAGAATATTACAGGAACCATTATGGAAATTTTGACTCATTCACAACTCCGATTGAATCCACAGTGCATGGAATTTAGAACATTATTAAGCCTGTAATTTAGTAATTTATTTAAGTAAATTTAGTATACAAAAATACTCATAAAATATGAATAGTTACTGTAGAAAAATCGTGTGCGCTTCAATCGAGTATAGTACACAATTATATAAATGGTGTTTCGTAATATGAACGTGCTACAACACAATAAAGTAAATAAACTGATGAAGAAATTTGTGTAATAAGAATTCAATGCTAACTAACGCACAAACAATAAATGAAACATTTCTTCTTATTAATATTATTTAGGTTTGTTTCCTTTACTTAAATTTAAAGAATGAAATTAATTAACTTCTAATTATTCAAGCTCGCAAGCTTGTCCTTGTCATTTACAATACATGTAGATCAAAAAGCTTACCTATAAAATTAGGTGTTTTTCTTAACCTCATAGAATTTATATGATAACTTACCTTAAGTGAAGTTCTATCACAATGATACCAGGCTCCTTGTCCAAAACAGGTTACGCGTAATAATGCTGATTGTGTTAGCGACGTTCACAAATGTCCAAAAAAAAAAAACATTTTGCTCTGTGGCAACTCCATCTGTAATGTTTAAAGCGTGGGCGGTAGTAGGTGGTAACAACTCTGAAAAAAGAGATACTGTACGTATCTCTGTGGGTTAAGTGGGAGTGTCGTCTTGGAGTTTAAATTTATAAATTAATGTTATATTTAGACGCGATAAATGAATAAATACCATTAATCAAATTATCATTAGATATTTTGTTTAAAAAAAAATGTATATATAATTATTTGATTTGACTAAATTTGCATTCACAATACTTATATTGAAAAATATTCTTAATGAGAAATGCTTAAAAAGTCCATTTTGTCCCATCTCAGAGTGCCAGGAGCAAAGTGGATTGGAGCAGACGTTGATGCGCGCTTAGTACTGTGAGCAGCAAAAATATTTGTATCTATGCCAGCTCTTCTAATGTTGATTTTATCCAACGACTTATTGTCTGTGATGTAACATTAAGATGAGGTTTTTGAAAATAAATAAATAAGTTTTATTTTTATCTTTTAGATGTCTTAGATAAATAAGATCTTAGTGGTAATGGGGAAATTTTCAAGTTTCGTTTTATAAGACTGGTTACAGAGGTTTTAATAAGTTCTGAATTATAAATTTGAAACCCCGATCTCATAAATTGACTATTTTCTACTTTAATAAGAGAGAGGGTTTGAACTCTATGTGCTGTTGTTAAGGCGATTAATGTGAGTAATTTTTTAAGATAAATATTCGTACGGTAAATTTAATTTTCATTAGGATAAAAATAACCAAGATAGTTTATAACAATGGCCGGATTCCAGTTTACATTGTACTTAGGTGTGGGTGGTTTTAAGCGAAAATCCCCTTCAGAAATCGTTTTACTGTATCATCAGCTCCTACAGTAGACCCTAATATTAGAAATAAGGCTGATCTTGGCGATTTAAGGATACCATATGAGGCTGCAGATTTATAATCATTTAGAAATGTACATAGTACATGTGAGATGGAGCCCTGATACGGATTAATATTATAACGATTACAACACTCCCACCATACCTTTCAAGGAGCCATTTAATTGTGTCGTTTGCAAGAGATT